CCCCCATCCCCCAAAGTCCCCCTTTCCTGCAAGCAGAGGCGCGCTCCCCTCGTTGGGACCAGCCAGCCTTGCTGCAGGGCGTGGTGAGACAGGAGGAGGGATCCCTGGAATGCAGGGAGCAGGGCCTGCACCGCCCTGGAAGTGGGGCTGACCTGTGTTACAAGGGAAACAATAATTCTGCTACGGCTGCCGGCCTTGAGGTGCGAGAGGGATTTGCAGGGGAAGGATTTACACAGCGGAGCTGGAAACTCTTCTGTCGAAGCGACCTTTTCTCTGCTCTAAGCGATTGCTGCCCTCTGGAATACTCTTCCCAATGATAAATTAGTTTATTTTCTAGTTTTGCTAACTCTCGCCTTTTCAAATTATCAATAAAATTTTGAAATAATTTTTTGCACGTAGATAAAATAACGAGTCGCGGCTAAGTGATTGAATTCCCTTTGCGTTGCTGCTTTGTAGAGACAAAAAAGACGGGGCAGGGGAATACTGTCTCGATAAGGCACAATCAGATTGATTGTGCAAAGGGTTGTGCAGGTGTTTGCGCTGCAGGTGGCGGTGCATGGCGCGCACCACGACGCGCTGCCCAGTAATTATCTGCTGCGTATCATCGCAACCGCCGAAGGGAACAGAACGGTCGTTCAAAGATACATATCCCGGATAAAAAGGCGGGCAGCGTGGCGGGCGATTGCGCGGGTGGGGCGTTGCTGAATGTAGGTGATGCGTGTGAGATATTAGTACTGTATTTGAGCAGTGGAGGCTCAGACTGGCTTACGCCTAAGCTGCAAAACTGCTATTCAAGCACTATTCAATCAAATGTGAATTTCCGACATGCTCAGAATCTCATTTAACAATGATTCAAACTTAGGATTGTTTGTTGTTTTTATAGTGATGTGAGGATACACAAAGAAGTGGGGATTGATTGAGCGATGGATAAAAATTGCAATAATTTTCATAATTGTTTATGTCTACGCACACTCTTTGTTTTCAGGTGCATATGCTACAGTTACTATGCCAGCCGCATCTCCAACTTCTCCAACCGCGTTGAAGCAGATTCACACGAAAGAAGAGCCTATCGAAAGCAACGTGTGCGAAGAAAAATTCTCTCGTTCTGGACATCTCCAAACCTATTCAGAAGACAAGTCTCTCGGGTGCTTTGTGAGTGAAAGAAGCTTTGCTCAGTCTGGGGCTCTGAAAAATCATCTCCAAACTCACACAGAAGAGAAGCCTTTCGAATGTACCGAGTGTCCAAAACAGTTTGCTCACTCATCCAGTCTGAAATCTCATCACCGAACCCACACTGGAGACAAACCTTTCGAATGCACCTTGTGTCAAAGGAAATTTGCTGAGGCTGGAGCACTAAAAAAACATCTACAAACCCACACAGAAGAGAAGCCTTTCGAATGCACCGCGTGTCCAAAACAGTTTACTCACTCATCCAGTCTGAAAGTTCATCTCCAAACCCACACTGAAGATAAATCTTTTACGTGCATAGTGTGCATAAAGAAATTCGCTCAGCCTAATTACCTGAAAATTCATTTGAAAACCCACACAGGAGATAAACGTTTCAATTGCACATTGTGTCCAAGTAGATTTGCTCAGTCTGGAGA